GCTCTCCCCTTCTCTTCCCCTTCTCCCCTTCTCTTCCCCTTCTCCCGAACGAGTGTATGCTTGTCCTTTCCCCTCTCCCCTCTCTCCCCCCCTCTCTCCCTCGCTCCGCTCCAGGTCCCTTTCCAAAATGCGTTTGCAAGTGTTTTTAGTTTCCGAGCTCACTTTTCCCATCGGTCTGTGTGTGTGTGTGTGTGTGTGTGTGTGTGTGTGTGTGTGTGTGTGTGTGTGTGTGTGTGCGTGCGTGTGTGTGTGTGCTGTGTGCGTGTGCTGTGTGTGTGTGTGCGTGTGTGTGTGGTGTGTCTGTGTGTCTGTGTGTCTGTGTGTGTGTGTTTTCTGTATGCATGTGTGTATATGAAAGTGCGTGCAAGTGCGTGGACCTCCCCCTCTCTCGCGTGTGCTTGCGCTTGCCTTAATCCCGCCGCCATCCCCGCTCCCTTTGGCCCTCGACGAAAGCTTAGAGGGACAATCCGCTTCGGCGACGGAGGATCTCTCACTTTGGGGTTTTCTCTCTCTCTCTCTCTCTCTCTCTCTTTCTCTCTTTCTCTCTTTCTCTCGCTCTCTCTTTTTCTTTCTCTCTCTTCTCTCTCTTCTCTTCTCTCTCTCTCTCTCTCTCTCTCTCTCTCTCTCTCTCTCTCTCTCTCTCTCTCTCTCTTCTCTCTCTCTCTCTCTCTCTCTTCTCTCTCTCTCTTTCTCTCTTTCTCTCTTTCTCTCTCTCTTTCTCGGCTCTCTCTTTCTCACTCTCTCTCTCTCTCTCTCTCTCTCTCTCTCTCTCTCTCTCCGTCTCTCTCTCCTCTCTCTTCTCTCTTTCTCTTCTCTCTCTCTTCTTTTTTTCTCTCTTTTTCTCTCTCTCTCTTCCTCTCTCTCGGTCTCGTCTCTCTCTCTCTTCTCTCTCTCTCCTCTCTCTCTCTCTCTCTCTCTCTCTCTTCTCTTCTCTCTCTCTCTCTCTCTTCTCTCTCTCTCTCTCTCTCTCTCATCCCGAACTTCCGACGAAACTTCCCGTGTTTCCTCGCCGGAGACAGCTATGGGAGACGGAATGCCAGTCGGCCCTTTGAGATGCGGCTTCGTCTTCCTGTCCTCTCTCTCCTTCTCCTCCTCCTCTTCCTCCTCTCGTCCTCTCCTTTCTTCCTCCTCCTCGTCCTCTCTTTTTTCTTTCCTCCTCTCGTCCTCTCCTCCTTTCTTCCTCTCCTTTCTCCTCCTCCTCCTCGTCCTCTCCTTTCCTTCCTCCTCCTCCTCGTCCTCTCCTTCTTCCTCTTCCTCGTCCTCTCCTTTCTTCCTCATCTTTCCCTTTTCGTCTCTTACAGCCTCTTTTTCCATTTCATTTTTCCCTTCTTCTCTCAACGTTCCCTCTTCTCCTTTCTTCTTCCTCCTCTTCTCCTTTTCTTCTTCCTTCATCCTCTCCCCCACTCTTCCTCTTTCCTTCTTCTCTCTTCTTCCTCCTCTTCTCCTTTTTCTTCTTCTTTCATCCTCTTCCCCTCTCTTCCTTTTTCCTTCGTCGCTCTTCCTCCTCCTTTCTTTTCTCCTTCCTTTATCCTCTTCCTCTCTCTTCCTTTTTCCGTCTCTCTTCCTCCCCCTCTTTTCCTTTCTTCTTCCTTCACCCTCTTCCCCCCCCCCCCCCGCCCCGCCCACCCGAGCGGCGGCCGGTGCCTCCCGAGGGCCCTGACGGCAACTGCGTAACAGCCGCCCCGGTTTGTTTACGTTCCTCTGGCTCGCTCGCCTTTAAAACCGGACCCATTGTGAAGGTGGGAGCTCTGACGCCGCCCCCTCCGCCCCCGTTCCTCCTCTCCCCTCCCTCTCTTCGCCCTCTCTCCCGTCCTCCTCTCCTCTCCCTTCCCCCTTCCCTCTCTTCGTCCCCTCTCTCCCGTCCTCCTCTGCCCTCCCTCCCTCCTCTCTCTCCTCTCCCTCCACCTCTCTCTCACTTCACTTCCCCACCTACTCTGCTATTCCTCCCCTTCCCGCCCTCTCTCCGCCCCCCTCCCCTCCTCCTTCAATTTCCTACTCTCCCTCCCCAACCCTTCCTCCCCTCCCTTCCCTCCTCCCCCTCCTCGCTTGCAAGACTCTCTGGCTTCTAGGAAAGGAGCTGAATGTTGAAGGAGATGGCGCGGGGGGATGTCCTACGTCTGCCTGGACGTCGCGAGGCCTTTGAATGCTCTCTCAGCGGGGACGGATTTGCCTCCGGTCGGGGGAGGGAAGGGACAAGGAAAGGGACAAGAAAGGGGGTAAGGGGAGGGGAAGGGCAGGGGACAGGGGCGTTTCTCAGGATTACTCTGCGCTCGTTGCTCCTAATGTATGAGAATAGAAATTGGGTTTGGAACGTGAAGGGATCCTACGAGGAGAAAGGAATTTGGACTTCGTCGGGCTCCCCATCAGAGCGTCGAAGGGGACTCCGGCGCGGCTGGACGGCGCGACCGGGGGAGCGCTGTGGAATCGGGTGCCGTCGGTCCCGGGCGCGGCGCTCCCCCTCGGTCGGCCGCGCGTGCGCCCTCGCTGCTTCTTTTGTTCGCTTCTGGGGGAGGGCTGGAGGGGGGGGGCTTTGGGGAGGTGGGGGTGGTAGGGGAGTGCGGGGGTGTTCGTAGGTGTCTCCGTGTGTGTGTTTGTGTTTGTCAGCGCCTCCCGGTGGTCCCTGCGGAAGCGCGGACGGGTTTCGCCGATCCCCCTCCCCCTCCCCTCTCCCCTCCCCTCCCCTCCCCCTCCCCCGACAACCTGTTGGTAATTGTTAATGACCGCCTCGTCGGCCGCGAACTCCGGGCCGCCGTCGCGTTCCTTCCCGGGAGGAGGATCGGGCGCCGCGGACGGGCGTGTGGGCGCGCTGTCTTGTTCCCATTCACTTTATTCCGGGTTTTGATTCGAAATGAAAGGGGATATTTTTAGTACTGTCGTATAAAAAGATCCATTCACGCGCAAGTGAAAGCGGAATAAACACTTTCTGTGACTCTGTTCCGCGCCGCCGATGTAAACAACAAAACTAAAAATAAAACTGTTCAACTTTTAGGGAACTTTTTCTTCAATAGACAATTTTTTTTTTTCAAGTGCAGGAAAACTAATATTTTTTCCTTCATGGCGAAATCTCAAAATGTTTTGAAAAGAGTGTTTAAATAAGTTGATACATTTTTTTCCAAGACCTATTTGATAATTAACGAGCCAGCGAGTAGCTCTGAATATTTAAAAAATGATTTGCACCTCCGTTTTATTCGGGAACGATCAGAAACGATCTGAAAATATAAACAAAGGGATTAATCTGTCCACATTGTGCTATTCTGAGCTTATAGATGTTCGTGGCATCAACAGGTAACTCCCCTGTGATAATAACACGAAGAGTCAACAGGTAAAATCCCCGGTGAAAATAACGCAACTTTGGCTCTTTTTTTTCATTTTTTTATTTTCATTTATGATTGTATTTTAATGTTATTTACTTTTATAACGGGGATAAATACGAGATTCTCATTGCAGGCTGACGATCATATTTAGGAAAGTATTTTCGGCAATTTTGGAGAAATTAATTAGCATATGTAGCGGGCGAGAATAATGCAAAATAAAAATCTGGAGTTTAAACATACTTGGAGCGTTAATGAGAAACTTGATTTTAAGTTTTTTACACACAACACACACACACACACACACACACACACACACACACACACACACACACACACACACACACAGAGAGAGAGAGAGAGACGAGCTGAGAGAGAGAGAGAGAGAGAGAGAGAGAGAGAGAGAGAGAGAGAGAGAGAGAGAGAGAGAGAGAGGAGAGAAGAGAGAGAGAAGAGAGAGAGAGAGAGGTAGAGATAGAATGAGAAAGAGAGGGAAAGGGCGATAGAAAAGAAAGAGAAAGAGGGAAATAGAAGGAGAAAGGGAAAGAGAAGGAGATAGAAGAGAGAGGGGAAGGAAATAGAAAGAGAAAGGAGGGAGAGGAAAGGGGAGATAGAAAGAGAGGGAGAGGGAAAGGGAGATAGAGAACGAGAGGGAGAGTGAAAAACGCCCTTCCACGCCGCAATGGCCGAAGGGGTGTGACGGTTTCCATTGATCTAGTTGGAACGAAGCAACAACCTCCCCCTCCACTCCCCTCCCCTCCTCCCCTCCCTTCCTCCTCTCCTCCCCTCCTCCTTCCTCTCCTCCTCCCCTCCTCCACTCCCTTCCCCCTTTCTCTTTCATTCTCCTTTATTTTGTTTGTTTGTTTCACTTTCGTCCCTTTGTGTGTGGTTGTTTGTTGACGTAACGATTTTATAAATACGTTTAGGTGTCATTGGCTTCCGCGACTTCCCGATAACATTGCTTTAATAAATATTTACTATTATAATTATTTATTATGTTTTAGGTAATTCATTTCTTTTCTTGGGCCTTTTGTCTCTCTCCCTTCGTCGTAAAAGCGAGACTGGCAAGGAGGAAACGTGAAAGAAACGGCCCTTTGTAAGCTTCCTAACGAACACACACTTGGAAAAGAGTGAATTTAGATGTGACGTTGGGGTTTTAGGCCTAACCTGAGGAGCTGTCTTACTCTTGCATTTTTATTATTAAAAAAAGCAGAGTTGGGAAGTACTGCTGGGTGTCTAATGGCATAAATTGATCCTAGGTTAGTTCTATAAATGGCATATAAAATCTGGGTTGTAGTAGCTGCTATAAAAGGTAGTAGCTGCTATTAAAATGCTGGGTTGTAGTAGCTGCTATAAAAAGATGCTAATAAAATGCTGTACTCTAAAGTGCTAGCTGCCTAGGCGTTGTGCTACTATAAATGCTGCTATAATGCTAGCTGCTATAAAATGCTGGGTTGTAGTAGCTACTATAAAATGCTGGGTTGTAGTAGCTGCCTATTAAAATGCTGGGTTGTTCTATAATATATGCGTATAAATTGACCTGGTTAATGTATTTCAAGACTGGGAGTGCCGGCGAGGCAGCAACTCTAAAACGGTTCCGCATCTGCAGCGGCCGCGGGGAGGAGCCGCTGGCGAGTCCCCGCCGGCCTCTCCAGCCTCCTGACGCAGATCTTTCCCCCTTCCACGTGCGCTAACCTCGTGCCTTTCCCTTGCAGAGCTCCACCCGCACCATGTTCAAGTGCACGTGGGCCGGCTGCCAGGAGATGACCTCCGCCTGCGACGCCATTGAGAGACACATCCGCGCCATCCACCTCGGGTACGGAGCCATCGGTGCCCCAGAGGCAGGCGGGCACTTCGCCGGCCCGCGGGTCGCCTCGCGGGCCGGGGCGGGGCCTCGGGCGGTTCTCTGTTGAGTGTGGAATAGATGATGATATAGGACTTGGTTGAAGTTAGCTTTGCTCTTTGGTGAAAATGAAACAAGGTAGAGATTGTTAGGTCGCTTAGGCCGCGGCACAGGCCTGGCGCCGCGGCGATGCAGGAGGTGCAAGCAGTAAGCTGACCCCCCCCCCCCCCCCAGGCGCGAGGAGGTGAGCAGCGAGCACAGCGACAGCGACAGCGACGACGAGGACGACCACGAGGAGGAGTTCTACTGGCGCGAGGTCGAGGTCAACGTGGCCACGTGGGTGGACCCCTGCGAGCCCCTGGTGGCGCCCGTGGTGCCCCCGCCCACCCCGCCCGCGCCCCCTGCCATGACCGTAACCGTGGCGCCATCGCCGCCCACGCCTCCGGCTGCCGTCGCCCAGCCCATGGGCGTGGGCATCCCGCCCGGCCCCATCCAGCCGTCCCACCCGCAGTACATCCACGTGTCGTCGCCGCCCACGCTCAGCCACATGGACATGGCGCGCCGCCCACGAAGGTCAGTCAGGCTCTTTGGGTGGTTTAGAAAAAGCATCAGAAACATGAAAAACATATTATTTTATTTGAGATTTGTGTAAGTAACGTATATGTTACACTGGAAGGATGCTGCCATGCAATGCTCAGTCATTATGACAATTCCTTTGAAATTAACGAGGCCCTTGTTTTGCAGACCCCGAGTACAGACGCCAGGCGCCCCCACAGCCAGCCCAATTGTTAGCCACGACTATCTGGCTACCTCGAGTTTGGAAACAGCTTTGATCTGCTCTCTGCTGTCTAAGTAATATCTGCTGTCATATCTAAATGAAAAGATGAAAATGCGAACTATCATTCTCAGAAGATGACTGAAGTCTGCGTTTGTTCTTCGCAGGGCTCCGGACGCGGGAAGATCCGCGTGAGCTCCTCGCCGAAGGCCTCCCCGGGGCGAGGCAAGAGGAACGGGGAGAGCCGCAAGTGCCGCAAGGTGTACGGCATGGAGCAGCGCGACCTCTGGTGCACGCAGTGCAAGTGGAAAAAGGCCTGCAGTCGCTTCGGGGAGTGAGCCTCCGCGGGATGTGTACAGAATGAGTGTGTGCTTAGCTGTGTAGCCTAGAGAGAAGGTGGAGAAGAGAGGAAGAGAAAGAGAGAGAGAGGAAATATCTTCACTGGAGTCCATAGCTGAATGAGCAATTCAGTTCGGGATAAACATTTACTAGTGATTTCCTCGGCCGCTGGTTGTGAGGAAAGTGCTTGACACTTGTGGTAGACAGAAATACTCCTTGCACTTTCATAACAAAGAGAAGAAACAATTTATTGTGTAAGCATTTCCTTGCAGTCTGAGCAGTCTTACGTAAGTGTAGAAGTAAGATCACAAAATAAAGCTGTCATGAATGTAGATTATAATCTCATCATAGGAAAGTCAACCATTGGAAGCCAGAGAAAAGGGAAGCACAAGAGAAAGGCTCAACGGCAGGATCTCCAGGTGCAAACCTCTTCCTCCGGGAGGAGACGCAGCGAGGTCCAGCGGTGGTCGCAGGAGGAGCCGGTCGCTCGGTGTTGTGCATCGGTGTTAGTTTGTAGTGGAGGCTTCTCCGGGGGCTGCCAGGTGTGATTTGGCGAGGTCGGGTCTTTATCACGTTCTTGTGATATCTCAAAAGGTGTATGTATATACTTTGGCATGTGTATGTATGTATGTATTTCTTATATTTATACATGAACTTGCATGTATATGTGCATGCATGCACATCTATGTAAATATAAATACTTTCACATACAAATGAATATGCATATACTGTACAAATACATATACATATAAATGCTTATCTTACATGTACATGTGTGTATTTATATATATATATATATATATATATATATATATATATATATATATATATATATATATGCACACAATTACATACATAATACATTATATACATAATAACATGTATATATACACATATACATACATACATTCACACATATACATTCTTAATAAAATACATACATACATACATACAACTCTATATACATATACATATACATATATCATGTCAAAGTTTCAGAAGGTAGAACATTTTACTACAGAAGTGCTTGAGATATTTTTAGAAGGCTTCCAAAAAATCACATGGAAATACATTGCAATAACCAAACCAAGATCCAGAGCTGGATTTTGTCAATGATGCAAAAGCTACTTTCAAACCTTTTCCTATTGCAGTGTATTATAAACATTAAGTCGATGGACATCCATTGTATCATAATGTGTTTTAGCCAGGGAGATGTTGTGGATAGGGAAGCC